GAATCACTTTTTTGTAATACTTTATGCCTCTTCAAAGCTAATTATTGGTATACATTGTTCTGAAAACCATTTACGCGAGAAATTTGGTTGCCAAGATAACGCGTACTATAATTTCAAAAAAGTTTAAATGCACTGCTGGGTACCAAAAGTCTGGTTATTACCCGATCTTATTAAAACTTGCTATAAAAGACACATGGCTATAAAGTCTAAAGTGAATTAATATCAGATCCATAGCATTGTTTTCGGATTTCAAAATTAATTCCAAAAATTTTATAGTTCATTTTACGATTATGGGAAAGTGCTATGAACCTAAAACTGGTTCAGTTTTGTCTTTATGGCCACGGGTTTTTGCAACAAAGTTTCAAGAAGATCGGGTAACAACCAGACTTTTATTACACAAAAATGCATTTCAACTTTACGTGCGCGTTATCTCGGCAACCGGATTGCGCGCGTAAACGGTTTTCAAAACAATGTACACAAATCATAGCTTAAGAATGACATAAAGTATTACAAAAAATGGATTCGGAATGCGCGAAAGCGAAAGCTTTAGTGTATGTATCCCATTTTTGACACCATGTACCGTGCCATTTCCCTTAATACTGCTCGTGACGTACGTCAGAACTCAGTCTTTGCCTGTCTAATGGAGTCATCTGGACGTTGGAGCTGGTTTGCGGGAGCGACTGTATGCTCCGTGAGGGAAAACTGCCCGGGGTGTCTGATTGATGTGCTACAAGTGATCGGGGAGCTTGCCCTTGTAACGCTCGCGTTTGGCCTTTTTAACCAGTGATCTCATCAGCGCGGCATTCGGTAAACCCCTAAATCCTGCTTTTATGGTAAATGCCGGCGAAGAACGTGGATCAGTGCTGTGGAGTCTTGTTGCTGACTCCTGGAACTCTCAATGCGCGTTGGATCGTTTGATCCAACGCGCAGATCATTTTGTTGTTCATGTTATTGTGGCATCGTGAAACGGACGTTGATTTCTCAGGCTCTGGACACGCATGGAAGAAGAGCGGATGTTTGTGGTCGGATTTTGGTGGTGTTATGCCCGAAGCAGTCTGGGATCTTGCCCTTACAACGCACTGCGTTTGGCCCCTAACCAATGAGCTCGATGGTATGGTACCTGTGGATTCTGGCTGCTTGCTTCTGTAATTTTTTGTCGGTCTCTCTGTTTATTAGGTTGGCGGTTGTCGTAAAATCATCTTGATAATTATTGTCAGTTGTTCTCATTTATGTTGGTTTGAAAATGTCCTTGATCATTATGAACAGTAAAAAATCGCCATGTATACATCCGTGTACATACTGTACGCACTCCCGTCTTTGACCCAGACTATTTCACTAAGATTTCATATTACTAAGATTCTGAAAAAAATCAGGCGCCTTACTCAACCTGATAAGTCATGTCGCGCACTGCCGTACCGGCACGGTACGTAAGTCACAGCTCCCACTAGAACGGTGCCAAATTCCTCTTTGTAGTTGTGATGAGATATACGAATATGTACATTAGCTGGCGAATGATATGTAGTACGACTGTGCGAGTGGTTTTGTTTTGTTAAGAGAGTGGGAGATCAGTTGTATACTACACATTTCTCCTGTATTTCTCCAGACTTCTCCAGTACGGACTTACACATAATATTATTATCATGGCTTATAAGGGATTTTCAAAGCGACGTACAAGTATTAATACATGCACACTGATGCTGGTACATGACATTGTATGTCATATATTATGTATTGCAGCGGCGGTGTATACTTTACTTATTTCTAACACGACTGCTCGCTACGGAGCCAGCCAGACAACTGAACTCTAACACTACAACAACACTGGCCATTACGATCCCGTTGTAACGACGCATTATACGTACGACATCATCCAGATTCACAGGAGATACTCGTACAACATTAAGTTGTACGAGTACATACATACACTACATCTACATGTACAGTGCGAATCTTGATTTATTGTTAATTTTAAATACTTAAGATAGGCTACAATGAGTTCACAGTGTTACGATCGTGGATTACGACCGTGGACACTGGATAGCGTGGATTGCATGGCTGCATGTATCTTTATGGTCTTGTTTGTGCCGAGTCTGAGCTGTATGGTTTATGATCATATTTGTGCGGGACATTTGTCTTTATGGTGTTATGCATTTATATGCATGAGTGTTTGTGACCGATGGTCAAGTGGGAATGAGAGGAAGGCAGGAGTAATCTGGCCTGCAGGAGCGGATGGGCAGTGGTCAGATTGGTGCGTGTGTTTTTATAGCTTTGTGGCTGTATGCGATTATGAGCGTGTTATGCGAGTATGGATATCGATGTGGTATAAAAGGTGGTACAACTGTGTGGAGACGGCACAGTTGTCGGGAGTGCAGCTGTCATGAAATAAAAGTTAAGCTTTTTCCCTGTGGTGTACGTTGTACGAGGTAGACGTAGTGCTGCAGGGTTTTAAGAGTGGTGCCGAAACCGTGGATATTGTCCGGATATTGGGAGAATATCTGACAATATAACGGATGTGGAGGAAGAGGTCACTGTTGTGGGAACAGTGGGCCGCATTGTTGGAAATTAGTTTTTTCATTGTTGCCGAAAATCGTGCTGTTTGACATTGTCGGCGTATTGGGATATATTCTGGCAATTGACGGACGATGCTGGGAAGGTTACCGCTTTGGATGTGGTGGACCGTGTTGTTATATATTGTTGGATATTGGGACAGTATCCGATAATGTAAGTGAAGGTCATTGTTGTGGAAACGGTGGACCGTATTGTGGGATATTGTTGGATATTAGGATCTATCTGGCAGTATAACGGGTGAGGAGAAAAGATCACCGTTGTGGAAACGGTTTACCGTGTTGTGTAATATTTTCGGGATATTGGGATAATATCCGATAATATAGCAAAAGGTCACCGCTGTGGATACGGTGCACTGTGGATATTGTTGAGATATTGAGCATATATCTCTGACAGAATAATGGGCGACCAGGATAAGGTCACCGCTGTGGGAGCAGCCGGTGTGAAGTATACCGTGAACGTGAACTCTCGTCAATTAGCGAAGGAGTTTACTGATTTGAAATTGGCCAGCGACACCAAGCCACCGTTGTTTAGTGGGGAAGCTAAAGAAGTGGTGGATGAATGGTGCAGGCAGTTTCAGCGTATTGGAAAAGCGCTAGAGTGGACGGATGCTGTCTTGCTGAAGCAGGCGCCGATATACCTGCGTAAATTTGCAGCCAACTGGTATGATAGGGAGACCAGTGATGGAGCGAGGATTCCATGGGCTGACTGGGCGGCATTTAAGAAGGCATTAATTGCTCGATTTCGTCCGAAGGATATGATTCAGCGTTACAAGCGTGAGATGAGACGCCGGAAACAATTGCCGGATGAGGACGTGAGTACGTATTTCAACGAGAAAGTTTCGAAGTGTTATCTGGTTAATCCGAAAATGGACGATGCGGATGTAATCGAACATTTGAAAGATGGATTACTTGAATCGTACTACGGCTATGTGGTGCTTTCTCAAGCGACCACGCTTACGGAGTTTTACGCTGATTTGGTGCTTGCACAAACTGCTGTGAAGCGCAATAAGCGTAAGGAGACTAAGTACGTCACTGGGCCGGTGGCGTCCGATGAGGAAGAATGGGAAGAAAGTGGGCATTGGGAAAATCGTGAAGAGAGTGACGACAGTGCTGACAGCGCGCGGGAGCGACAGGTTGGTGCTGTGGGTCATGACGATAGTGCTGATGAAAATAGCGACGACGCTGTTGAGGACAATAGCGTTGTGCGCAGTGGCGGTGCGGGCAGCACTGTGTATAATGCCGACGGCCGGGATGAGCCGGGTGGCAGTGGCCGAAGTGACAGTGGTACATGGGGGTCGCCGTTTAAGGGAAGGATGGCACAGCGTGGTGCGAAGTCGTGCTACAAGTGTGGTAAAGTTGGACATTTGATGGCCAACTGCACGAACAGTAAGCCGCGGGTGGATTAAAAGAGGTGAAGGAAGATGTGGCGACCATGCACAGACAATAGTGGTCAGTTAATTGGGACAGTGTAGCCGGGTTGGCTAATGTGCCCATTGAATTGTATTCCGTGCAGTTAATTATGGATTCAGTGCATTATCGTGCTCCGGATGGCAGTGATCTTGAGGGTGCATTCAGATCAGCTGATCCATTCTTCGGGACGAAGAATCTAAGCGGAGGGTAATGTTACGATCGTGGATTACGACCGTGGACACTGGATAGCGTGGATTGCATGGCTGCATGTATCTTTATGGTCTTGTTTGTGCCGAGTCTGAGCTGTATGGTTTATGATCATATTTGTGCGGGACATTTGTCTTTATGGTGTTATGCATTTATATGCATGAGTGTTTGTGACCGATGGTCAAGTGGGAATGAGAGGAAGGCAGGAGTAATCTGGCCTGCAGGAGCGGATGGGCAGTGGTCAGATTGGTGCGTGTGTTTTTATAGCTTTGTGGCTGTATGCGATTATGAGCGTGTTATGCGAGTATGGATATCGATGTGGTATATAAGGTGGTACAACTGTGTGGAGACGGCACAGTTGTCGGGAGTGCAGCTGTCATGAAATAAAAGTTAAGCTTTTTCCCTGTGGTGTACGTTGTACGAGGTAGACGTAGTGCTGCAGGGTTTTAAGAACAGTAAGTATGAACAATGGTACAGAAGCAAAAGCCCATAAGAGACGGTGTGGGTGCGGCGAAATAGCCACCGAGCTGGTTTGCGGCAAAATAGTCACTATGCTACTTCAATATTTCGCCGATCATAGTGCGACAGAAAAGCCCAAGGGCAACCAACATAGGCTGCGGGAAAAGAACGACTTCGAAATAGGCCTACCATCTGCGGAATTTCTATATTATCCACATATGACTTACCGGCTGGCCTGGCCCTGTGCATACTTCAACTGGTATCTTGCGCCCGAGCAACTATCGGCACTTCCAAATTTGTTACTATATTATTTACTGGATGGTTGTATGTGAATCCACAGCCGTAGCGATCTTATTCTTCAAGGCTGCGTATAATAAACACCCCTTTTTTTACCTCTGATGAGAGAAAAAGTTACCACTGAGACATCTCCCACTTACATTTTCTGAATACAGCTCCGCCCAATTCTGGTTGAGCATATCACTTCCCCGATAAAAACACTCGACCATTGCATAGGAACAAAACCTGCTACACATCCAGAGCAAACGAGATCTAAGTATATACAGTCACCGAACAGCTAGCCAAATGGAGGCTGTGATTAAACAACGATCAGATAGGCTTCCTGCATGAACCATCCATCGAGGGGATCGTCGACTCGCAGCCAGCACTCGTACCGCCCGGCATCTTTCCGCGACACAGTGTCAATCTTCATCGTGGAGCTGCAACGACCTACTTTATCCACGCTGAAATGAAAACTCCCACCGAATCCATGCCTCCATCTGGCCTTATCAGCAACTTCTGGGATAGACTCGGCGGCCAGCAGGTGGTGTTCACTGCGCCATAGGATGCGGTTGACCAGGGAACCGGGAAGGAAATTAAAGCGCACCTCGCAGACCATCTCCGCGGGGTCGCCGAGGCGGACCGTGACGTTTTGCATGGGTGGCTGAAAGACGGTGTGGCGAAAGAGGGTGGCGCTGACCCCATAACGCTGCGTCACCACCTTCTGGCTGCCGTTGTAGTGTAGGCACTCGTACAGACCGCTGTGAGCGTGGGTGAAATTGTGCAGTGCTATGGTAAACGCACTGCTGGCCTCATCGTAGTTCTCCGCACTGATCCTGTGCGACAGAACTTTTTCCCCGTTACCGATTATGTTTACACCGCTACAATAGGAATGGTTTCGATTGAGCAGGACTCCAACTTTCCCGGCATCATTCTCCGTGACACCGAATTCGTCTCCATTGTATTTGAACTCCGGTGGAATCCTGTTATGGGAAACCTGTGAACGAAGCAGAACATATGGACTGATGGTTATGTCGCAATGTCTCAGTAGGGTCAACATTAACATACCAGGTTGTTGGTGTTGTTGCAAGGAAGGAAGAGCATGCCGCCTTCGGGCGCTTGAATCAGCTTCGTCTGCGGTGACCATTCCGTGGTTGGATAGCCCGCCACCGACGGACCTCGCCCAAAACCCTGCAAACCCATCGTGCCGTTGCCGTTGCGACGCTTCGCTTCGTTCAGAATCTGGTCCACTAACCACAGAATGAAGTATGGTTAAGCGAATTCGACAAAAAACACAACAGGTGGCAACTGCATGTTTCTTGAGCAAAATGGAGACTACAGTGACCACTCGTACGTACTACATAGTCTACATACAAAGTACCAAATTCCGAAAACGAGAAGAAAGCCATTAGTTGCTGTAGAAAGTTATTTATCGAAGATACTAGCGAAAAAAGAATACGGAGAATTGCAATTGGGATGGGTTTCTTCCTTCCTCTGATGTTTTACTTGATCCTTAGAAAGACATACAGCTGAAAAGAAGCCTGCAATTTCGCGCGTAGCTAACGGGTAAAAATCTGCAAAGCTTTCATAAAAATCGTTAGAAATCATGGCAATTTGCATGAAGGTCGTAAAAATTAAAAGGCAGTATGTAGTACGTGCGGTACGAAGCAGGAGCAGGCCCGCCGCGGAACCCTTGTGCAATTTTGAAAAAAAACTCCTACAATTTTCATCAGAAAATTTTTGTGAATACAACATTGAATTTGCCGTTGATTTTTGGAAAATCCCCCGTGCACTTTTAAAAATGTACTTCTCCTACGGTTAATTATCGCACATTTTTCCTTAAAGCACTATTGAACACGCCGTAAATTCTGAGTAACATGGTTGAGGCCAATTTTTAAAATTCATTCACCCCCAAACAAGTCCACCCGGGCGGTTGCCCATGGCTTTCCCCCCGATCCCCCCAGAAATATGGAACCATTTGCTATTGAAACACAAAACGTTTCAGTAAAATTAGCTGGTGAGGTGTCTTTAGACTGCTCTTGGCGATCTGGGTGGTACAACTCACTTTTGTCCACGCTAAGCCCCTTTTGGGCACAGGAGAAGCTGTCCGGGATGTGCCTAACCAAACAAAGAGCCACGGCAGTTACCATGAGGCGAAGATGACCCATTATCCCACGACAGGACGGATTAAACGTATGATGATACAACCGGGAACAACGTCCACAGGTGAAACGATCACAATCCACTAGCTGGACTAGGATGTTTCCAATGGGACACTCTGGAATAATTAATTATTTGATGCAGTGTTGCTGTTCTAGAGGTATTTGTGCGATTTGTCTCACACCATTGCCGATCGGCCGAGGTTTGCACTCCGAACGCAATAAAAATGATAAACGGTCTGAGTGAGATCCAGTCGGGCCTGCATACTGTCCTCTGCAACGCTCTGCATCCCGGGCCAAATCTGTCCTCTTCTGTCTAAATCTGTCCACTTCGATCGTCTTCTGTCAAAGCCAGTAGACTAATACAAGCCAAGAAGCAGGCATATAACGCGGTCACGTAGCCACGCTAGCTCCGCTGATTAGAAGAGAGCTCAGACCAGCGTCCTTTGATAGTTTTTGAAATTTATCCTATAAGTAATTCCTCGTGCAAGACAGATGGACGCGCTTGCTGTACGAGCTGTACAAAATAATGTGGCGAAACGGATGCAACCTTTTAAAAAAATCACCCTCGAACAAGGAACTGAATATAGAAGATTCGGGAAACGTTCTATTCTTTCCATTCACTCCAGGACATTGTCTTTTTGAATTGAGGTCATACGCGTACAGATCGTAATGAATGGAATTTCGGCACAGAAATTTGTAAAAATTTGAATGTAAAAAATGATGAGTCGGTCAAGGAACCGGATAGTCGACCACATTATGCTCTAGGTGGTCACCGTGGAAATCGTTTGACTATCTTCCACGCATGAACTGTTATGAATTTTCAAACGACTTTTTCAGCCATTTCTCCGTAGACTCGTATGCTAAGTTAGCGGAGTTGGCTTAGCTGATCTTATCTGCTTCTTGGCTTGTACTAGTCTACTGGCTTTGCTTCTGTCCTCTCTACTCCCTATCAAAAGACACAGGAGAGGCCAAAGTCGCTCGGTCCGTAGTTGCAACTCCGTGGAGTACAGCGACCAATCATGGCACAAGGCGGGGCCAGTGAGCTCCACGGAGTTGCTAACCGTACAGAATTTCACGCTTCGTTAAGAAAACATGTACTACCTGCGGCCTCAGTCATGAGTTTTCATTTTTGCACCGGGTTATGATTTGTCCATCGTACTCCGCGCAATTTGCGCGGGGTCTGCTAGTAGTAGTATTTATAGTATTAGTAGTATGGTATTAGTAGAGCTTATCAGTGCACGTCATAGCTAACACCGCTTCGTCTTTGTAGCTGATCAGCTGGACGTTAACCGAAAATAAACAGGTAAGGACTACATTTGACAGTCTACGAAAATAAATTTCAGCAGTAACGCCAATACGAGCAGCAGCCACAAAACCTAGTCAAGTTATCGTCACGTCAGAATTACCCTGGTGCAGTTTACCATGGCGACATCGGCAGTCCAGAAACAGTACGTACTACGTATAATATAGTGCGTTTCTATGCACACCTGCGATAAGTGAAGTATAGAAACGCGTAGTAACTGTCAAATATCATTAATTTTTTAAATATCAAAGAAGAGCGCATCGAATGAATCATCTTGTCGTGTACGTTGCTTTCCTAGCAACTACTGTTTTACTTCTTACTTCATTCTGCTGTACTTCCTGTCATTCTACCTGC